ATACTCTCTCGCAAATGCACTTAATTATATTTAGATGCGAATTCAATCTGAACTTTTTTTATTGTACGAAAGTTCAGTGTTTTATTGTTAAATCACCACAATAAAAACCAAGAACCGGTAACGCTAAATAATGCAGTGTATAACATCGATTTTTCGACGATTTTTTAAGAGCCCGTAACGCTCCCTATTGCGTTAGTTTGGGAAAATTTTCTTTCAGCTATAACTTGTTTTGGTCACAAACATCTTTTCAATTTAATTAGATATCAGCCTTTGAAACGTGCCTATTTTCATAAAATGACCCCCATGCGTTGTTTCAACCGATTTACATTTGCGAAATTGGTGTTTGTTACGAAGGAAAGAAAAAAAAATTACGAGCTCTGCTGGAAAATCGATATCGCGGCGGGGAAAGACGGAAAAACAAACCGAGATCGCGTAATATATGAACGGCTGTACCGTCAAGAATATTGTTTCCTCCCCTGAGTAGCCAGGGGGTCGTCGCCAAAAGCGGATCACATATAGGCATACAGAGGGTCGAGCGTGGGGAGAATAAGAAAACAGACTCTGAATAGTTAACTCCCGTCGGCGGTTCGTTTGCTCGCCTGTACAATGCGATAATGCCTCTCATACGTATATTCATTTTCTTCCTTTTCCTCGTGCTTATGATTCTTCGGGGCACTACACGAGCTTCTCCCCGCTTTATCCAATAATATAGGCGTATAGTCGGTAGTTCATAACTTGTGTGTATATCTGGTGATTGAGACAAAATTTATTATCGCCCTCGAAATCAGCTTTCTGTTTGTAAATATTTATGTGTTACGAAAACAACATCAATTGTAACGAGATTATATCACAACTTGTAACTTACTGATACATGTTTATGTATATAAACAAACAAACATTTCTTAGTTTTTCATACCATTGTTACTTTTTGTTTGTGATTTGTGTCAAAAGTCCGTCATTTTCATTCATTTATTTTTTCAATCTAGCCACGAAAGTGCAGAGGTGATTGCACGAATTATTGGATTTGACGATCGAGTGCGGAGGAATGTAATGCAATCCGAATGGAAGCTCCGAGAGAGATTTTTTTCCTTTTTTCCCTTCTTTTATTACTTCATCTCGCTCGTGATCGTTAGTGTACGATATAGGTGGCTCGTGTGTATATATATGTATGTATATGCACCCCCTCGAGTTGAGAGGCGGAGGGTGAAATTTATGATGCGTGACGCGTTATAGTTGAGAGTGTCGAGGGTATAATGAGATTTTTTTTTAGATTGAATTCGTACGTGATATTTCTGGCACATTTTTTTTCTCTTTTTTTACTAATGGTATTATTCCATGAATCACTAAAATCTTACGATCAATTTCTTTATTCGGTCTTGTATCTAATAAGTGTACTACTTTTTTTGTTTCACAAAAGTGTTAGATATTTTTTTTTTTTTTTCTCAGTGTGCTTTAACAAAGACGCACCCAATGATCATGCGTTGTATTGGGGCCATTTTTTGCGAAAGAAACATAAAGTAGCAGCTTAATGAAATTTCGCGCGTCCCTGATATCAAATTTTTTCTTCGTTCGTCCAATCACTTAAAAATTATTGGCGTTCCAATTAAAGCGACTCCGCGGTTAATTCAATGCAAATTTATTCCGTGCCTCTCACTCTGTCAAATCGCGATAATACGCTTGTAATTAAATTACAAATTTACTGCGACGCTACCCTAAATAAAACGAGCGTTAATAACATTTTCGCCAGAGTAACTGCGCACCCCCCCCCCTCTCTTTTATCGAACAATGGCACGTGGTATCTAAAAATGCCCCCCCAAGGCTTTTTATTTATTCGATTAATCCAAAAAAAAGAAGAAAAAAAAAATATGTGTATACACGTTCAATATTTCGGATGTTACAATGCACGTCTGAACAATACACGTTTCTATCGAGTCAAAGGAATCCGTGTCAAGATGATCGTATACATAGGTGATGTACATGTAGAAGAGGTACTCCTGCGACGCGCCGTTCCCGAATCAATTGTACGAGGCACACGCGATGTACCTCAAAACCCTTTCTTCCTAAATGGAAAATAAAAAAAAATAAAAAAGAAAAAAAAAAAAAAGGGTCCTTTATGCTGCCTCAGTCGCGTCTTCCCGCCGTAAAAATACCCCGGCGGTCGATACTTCAAAAACCCATTCTCCACTCGCCCCGATCGCGGTATTCACTTTGTACGATGAAAGTGGACGTGAAAACAAAAAAGAAGCAAGGATCGGGGGGGAGAAGGTCGTCGTCGTCACCTTGGCTCGTTCTGCTCCTTGCAAGTCTTGACCGCGTAGACCCGGTTGAAGAGTATCTTGGCGATGGTGTCGAAGTAGCCCTTCTCCTCGTCGGCGGGCGGCGAGCTGGCCGGTGGCTCGTCCTCCTCGACGCTCGCGCTCTTCTCGTTCCTGAGGAGGACGCTCCTCACGTTGGCGAAGCTCTCGCTGTTGCCGGCGCACTCGATCTCGATGGCGCTCTGGGTCCTGCGGCTCGACTGGGCCCTGCGTTTGCGCTTGGTCGCCGCCCCGGGCCTCTGCTGGCAGAAGCGATCGTGGCCCGTCATCTCGGCCTCGCGCTGCAGCTCGTTCTCCTCCCGTCGGGCATTGAAGTTCTGGTAAAACGTAAACATGCTGGTCCTTTGTTTTTCTCCCCCCCCCCCCTCAATTTCTCGTACTGGCTTCTCCTTTGCTACGGACGGCGCGTCTTTTTCGCGGTACTCCTCTCCCGGGCATTCTCCGGAGAGAGTTGTTCTTCTTCCTCCTCCTCCCTTTTTTAGCGCTCGGGGAGTCTTTGCGTGAATTATTCAGCCGGTGGCGGCGGGGAGCTCGTTCTTCGCCTCCGTCGGTGATGCATTGCAGCGCTGTCGACGCTGGATCCGTGGAAATACGAGAGGCTTTTCACTGCTGTGGGGTCTCTGGAGCTGATGCTGTTGAAAAGTCTCGAGATTAATTTCATTTTTTTTTTTTTTTTTTTTTCATTCAAATAAGTATAATTTATTATTATTGATGAGAAAAGTAAAGAGCTCTTTGGGATTTTCTTGGTTTTTGTGGATGAAAACAAAAAAAGGAGGCACGTATTTGTACGTAATAAATTTCCCATTGCCGCGAGATGCTGTCCGCACGTTTTGTATCTCCGGTAAGTGGATAAGAGTCGGATACGATCGGACGAGCTATCAAATAGCGGAGCGGAAGTAGGAGCAATTCTTTTATTTATTTTTTTTTTTTTTTTTTTTTTCATGTTGAGTGAGCATTGTAAGGTCCAAAGGAGTTTATTCGTACGGCGGAATTCAGTTTTGGTGTTGCATTGGAGAGAAAAATTTAATCGGAAATAGAAGGAGAGAAAAAAATGTGACGTTGGAATCGTTTTTTTGGATAGAGTTAACAACCGTAATATTTTATCTTCCGAAAAATATGTATAAAATACAATGTTTTTTTAAATAAAAAAAAACGCGTTCATTTCTCCAACGAACGAAAAAAAAGTTCTAAAAATACGAAAAATCGAAAGATTAGACAGATCGTTGGGAGGAAAATTAAAAATACACCTCTCTATCCAAAATTACAGACTCCCACTGCAGCGCTCGCGCGCTCAACCCGTTCCCATAAACTGCTAACTAGGCGCCAGACACCACACACAGTATTGACTATGAAAACCACCAGTGCAACTCCCATAAAACCCTATCGACCAATCTGCACCTGTACGTTGAACAAAAAAAATCTTGCGCCGGGTCATTACAAGGCAATGAATACATGAAAAGTTATGAATAACAGTACCGTCAAGCTGGAGCTTTTGTCGTTGAACACAGCATAGTCCAGCAAAGAAAAAGGTCGCGTGAATGTACTGCTTCTTCGCGAGGGCAGGAGGTAAACTGAACAGAAGAGCGAGTCGCGCACAACTGGCCCTCCTCCTGTCTGGTGCATACGTTGTTGTACGTGAGGTGCTTGCACCCTCTCCGCGCGCGCTTGCGCCTCCGAACGCGAGCCTGGAAATAGCTGCACGTGCTTGCAAGCTCCGTATCTTCACTCGATGAGCGCTCACTAGTTTGCACGCAGCGAAAAAGTTTTCCTCAGCCTTTTTCTTCACAAGAATACGATAGCGAGAGAGTCAATGAGTTGAGAAGCGAAAATGTTAATCGTTGACTTTGACTCTCCTGCACAGCCAACCACTCCAACAATGTTCACTCTATTTGCCTACAGTTGTAATCTAATCTTGCTAGCGCTACTTTCTATGGCTTCGCGAACTTTTAACATGCAAGTTGAGAGGATGCGTCGATGCATGTGATTAGTAGCAATGATGTCTTCTCTTTTTTTTTCTTTTTTTTTTTTT